GTTGGAAGTTGAGACTGTCCCTTGACCACTTTGGGCTCCTCATGACAATGAACCAAAAGGTAGAGAAAACGATTCTGTACTGTCTGGAGTGACTGAGATTACCAAACAGGAAACTGAAGCTTTGCTATACAGTAAAGACAAGAATTACATATGGAATGTACAGAATTCACTGTGATGCCTCTTAGGTCCCCCTTGACCAACAGTTCTAGTCAATGGAAACTGCAATAATCCATTAAAGACAGGAGAAGCAAGGATGAAAGTCCTACAGAAATGAAAGTCCAGGTCATCCCAATAGAAATGTTGGCAGTAGGAAAGGGGAACATGGAATGGTTGGAGGAATAAAGCAGTGTTATCAACTGTGGCCTTGCTACCAGCTAAAGAAAGCAAGGGCTGTAGCAACTAAGTTCACATTGTTCCTCTGACCCACTTTTCTTTCCACTATCTTGCACAAAAGATACTTGTGGTAGCTAATATTTTAGGTGGGAATAGGGTTGAACTGCCACCTCCCACACTAATACAAATAGTTCAGGAATCAGGGAACTCTTTCTTTTTCTTTCTTTCTTTTAAAGAGATGGGGTCTGTCACTCCAGCTGGAGTGCAGTGGCATGATCACAGCACACTGCCACCTCAAACTCCTGGGCTCAAGTGATCCTCCTACCTCAGCCTCCTGAGTAGCTAGGACTATAGGCGCATGAGACATCTGGCTAATTTTCTTATTTATTGTAGAGACAGGGGTCTTGCTATGTTGCCCAGGCTGGTCTTGAACTCCTGGCCTCAAGTGATCTTCCCCTCTCGGCCTCCCAAAACACTGGGATTACAGGCATAAGCCACTGTGCCCAGCTAGACAACTCTTTCTTGAAGGGTCAGACAGTAAATATTTTAGGCTTTGTGGCTTACACGGTCTCTGTCTCAGCTATCAACTCTGCCATTGTAGTTCCAAAGCAGCCATAGACAATATATAAATAAATGGGTTTAGCAGCATTCAAATAACACTTTACTTACAAAAACGGGTAATTAGCCATTGACAATTCTTTTGATAGCTGATAGGAGTTCGTAAGTTCCCTATGTTAGGAAAACTAGCTTTTCATCTCAACAAAAGACAACAGTGAATGAGTTGGATAAAAGGGGTAGAGTGTTGTGATTATTCTACTTTTGTTCCTCCTGATTAGCTCTCTATCTTACTCTGTACCCTGGGGGTTGCATTAACGAGATTCTGTCCTTCTGGCTTCTGGTTTGTGGGAGACACAAGATGGAAACTGGTGAGCAGAAGAAAAGTGAGCTCATTATATTCACTATTCCAGGTTTCAGGTAGGCAGTAGCTTCATTTTTCTACTAATGGCCTCAGCTCCTATAAGGTGACTGTTTCCTGTGGCTATAGTACATTCTAGTAACTTCTTCCTCCCATTGATCTTTCAGGCCTAGAAGTGATAACTGTTCCTCACTGTCACTAGCTCAGTGTTCCTCCACCTCTTGTTGGGTTCTCTTAACACTGTTCTAAACAGTACCTTCATTAATTTCCCTCAATTAACCTGTATATGTGTGCCACTTATTTCCTGCCAGGAATCTAACCCATACATCATCCAACCAATTTTTCCAGTGGGAAACTTAAGTCATCCACAACTGCTTTCTAGCATTCCTGAAAAGAGTCATCTGCAACTCCTTTCTGTCTATCAATTTCTCTAGGAGAATAGGGATGAAGGGGGAATGATAGACAAAAAGGAGGTACAAAGGACTTTTAGGTCATCTTTGATTAAAAATGGCTCTATTACTTGCCAGCTTTATGCTCTTAGGAAAGTTACTTAACTTTCATTCTTTCAGCTGCCTTGTTTATAAAATCATGATTAAAATATTATATCTACCTCATTGTGAGGACTGAGTTAATACACAGAAGCCTTAGAAGAGTGCCTTACATATATTAAGTGCTCAATAAATGTTCACTATAATTCAATGATGTCGACTCTATTTCTACTTCATTTTCACTAATGCTATCTTCATTTACGGCTTCATCATTTCTCCCCTAGACTACCACAGTAACCTCCTTACTAAACTTCCTAATCGTCATATATTTCCAGCCAATTCATATCACATAATATACCTTAAGTCTCCTACTATGGGATACGTGGTAAAGAATCTGTGGGGAAGATTGTAAGAGAAATTCCATAAATAAAGAGACTAGACTTAATGAAATTTTTAGGAACCTTATAAATCTAAGATTCTACGATTTTTAAGAAAGGGTTACATTTTCTATCTATAAGGCTTATCCTAAGCACACATATGTGGGTAACAAGTCTGAGAGGGACGCTGATACCATCACTCAAGCAAAATCAGCTCTAAGATTTTAGTCTATTTAATATAGGTCCCCCTAAGAGAGTTAATTAAGTACTCAGGTTTTCAAGCGTTTTCCTAGAACGGATTACATCAGTAATTTATACATCTATATGGTAGTGGGTAATAGGGTTACTAGATTTCAAATATTCTATCTAAAACTTTACTATAAAGCAATACCACCTAAACAAAATGAGCCAAGAATCAGAAAATAAAACTGGCCTCTTAGAAGCCAAGTCAAGTCAGGGAGTGTCCTAATCTTAATTTTTTTCACAGGAGAAATCTCACTATCGGCTTATTCTTGTTTCATGCACCATTCTAAAATGCTTGGTTATGCAAGCTTTCACATTCCGCAACAGATTAAAAGTAATAAAACTTTAATCAGGAAATTGAAAAAAAGGAAAAGGAGACTTGAGAAGGCAACAGGTATAGAAGGACCATAGATCTTGGAATTATATAGACCTTAATTCTACTTAGGTTTTTTTGAAACACAGTATCTGGAACAGTATAAAGTTTGTATGTATTGTGAAGGTGAACTTATTACTGATTGTAATTATTGAGAATAAACTTACCACAACAGATTTTCTTTGGAAGTTTATGTTGTTTATGCAGACGACCTGATGGGTTGTATATTAAAAAAATATAGAGAA